GGAGGCACACAAAGGGATGGCCATGCTGGGGCTGCTTTTAGGAAGAAGGCTAGAGTAGACCTCACCCTCTCCTGTGCTGTCAGCTGTGGACGCCTCCCGGGTTCTCATTCCTTATTGCCCTCAACTCAGAGGGAAGGAACGGTGAAAATAACTTCTGACAACAGTTTTATGTTCAGTGAGCTTCCTGATGGTTTCTCCTGCATGCTGAAGGCTAAGCTGCATATGTAAACATGTTGACTTTGTTTTGCCAATTTTATAGAGGCCAGGGGTAGGAAGGAGAGATGGCCAAGCTGTCTCTCAGCTGCCTTCCAGTGGTAGCATGCCAGGCGCCTGAGAGTCCCGAGTGTGCCCATCTGTCTGCGAAATAGAGCGTCCCAATTTCATATTTTAGGGTAATTCAGCACCGATAGTTCCTCGTATACCAACACGGCCCTTTCCAAAAGTCAAGATCAGGCGGGGCCAAGTACGCGGTGCCAATCACCACCCTGGGGTCCTGCTGGTGGCGATGACATGAGGAGAGTAGACTCTGTGTGGGTGAGGGTGAGGACAAGGGGCTGTCTCAGGACAGGAGGGGCTGCCCAGCCCTGTGGGAACCACTGTGCTCCAGGTCAGGGGCCAGTGGCCTGCATGGACGTAGGAGCCCTTTCCTGTACTTGCCAACAGGGCAGGGCTCTGGCAAAGCACAGTGCGTGAGCCTTGTCAGCAGGAAGGCAGCGGCAGCCCAGGCCCAGGCCAGGTGGGGGCCCACTTCCACCTGGTGGTCAGCACCCTACCTGGCCGAGTCCTGGATGTACGCTGGCTCCCTGGGTGTCGGCAGAGGCTACGTGGGTATGCTCACAAGTCGTTACTTGGCATCTGTGGCTCAGGGGGCTGCTACCACTTTGTGCTGACTGGACGTTGCCTTTCTTGTTTGGTTTCCTGCTTCCAGTGACACCATTCAAATGGAACAAGACATTTGAGGGAGCCACACACTGCTCTGGGTGCCTCAGGGCCTTGAAGGGCTGTGGCCACTCTGACTCCAGGATCCAGAGAGCGGCGGGTCGATGCCTACATCAGCCTTGCTCCTGGGTGGCCAGAGGCTGCAGCCTGCAGGAGATCCCTGGCCAAACGGGATGAAGTAAAGCAAAGCGGCCAGTTGTGAGGTTCTGGGTAAAGCTGACCTCTTTCTTTCATGGGAGTACGTAATTGAGTCTTTTTGGTGCCATCAAACAGCTTAATGAGACCTTGCGAGAGTTCTACAGAGGATAGATGGAGCCTCTGAAGTTACAGCTGATAATATACAATACGGGGAGAAGACAAACATTATTAAGAAAACAAACAGCACCGCCACAGCTGTCCGGCAGAACTGTTAGAGGGGAAAAAGAGGCTGGGCAGGCAGCTTTGGGAAGCCTGGAACAACATCCCTCCTTTCACATCTTCATCTGCCTTCGGCCGCTCTGCCAGCAAGTCACTCAAGAGTCCAGCAGGAGTGGAGAGTGCAGAGGACCACAGAGAGGCCGCCTTCAGAGTGTGGAGAGATGTGGACTGAAGCCAGTGCCACCCCGGGGCCTGCGGAGAGCAGTGCCAGCAGCCACCGTTGGGGCATCTCCTAAGCAACTGAAGCAGGTGCCTCTATGGCCCAGATGAAGGGCAACCTCGACCCTGGCTGCCCCTGCCTTCCTGTGGGGACTTCTGTGGGCCCTCCTCGGCACAGAGGTGTAGCCCCTCGCTCCCCTGACGCAGTGTCTGGGCTCCTGCTGTGGCCTGGCACGTGAGCCCTGGCCGGCCTCTCCTGGCCTCCCCTTCCGGCACTTCCTCCTCCCGCCGCACCTCCCACCCGGCCTCAACGTGGCACTCTCTCTGGGCCTTTCTGAGCCCCCTCCCCTGGCCCGTCTCACGCTCCTGTCCTGTCTGAAGCCGCGAGCAGGGCATCAGAGGGCTCTGCACTGAGCAGTGGCCCTAGAGGTCCCATGCCAGACCCCGGTGGACATCCTAGGCTCCGACTCACAGGTGGGCAAACGACAACCCATAGCAGATTTTGTCTGTGAGCTAAGAATAATCTTCACATTCTTAAATGGTTGGAAAAAATCCAGAGAAGACTATTTCACAAAGGTGAAAATCACATGAAATCCAACTTTGGAATAAAGCTGTACTGTCCCCACTGCTCTCACTAAGTTCTGGCTAGTGGCTGCTTTGGGACTCAATCCGAGAGCTGGTGACAGATGGGACGGCTAACACAGCCTAAAAATCTACTATCTGACCCTTCACAGAAATGGGTGTCAACTCCTGGTCTAACCAGAGCTTCCCTCCATCTCCAGTTCTAGTAATTTCTATTTAGGAATCTACAAAGAGCAGTTCCTTCCACGCTCTGGTCCTCGGGGCCTGGATCAGGACTGTGTCCACACTGACACCTGCAGGCCAGCTGTCCCCAGGAGCCTGTCACCTCCCTCCTGTCTGCACTCTGCAAGTTTACAGGTCTCGCTCCTTTGAGACACCAGGAGCTTCTTAGGTGAGAAGCTCAGAGGTGTGAGCATCCAGCCCCCGCCCTGGCAGCACGTCTCACACAAACCTGGTGGATAGGCAGCACTTGGGGACCGCCTCCTGGGGCCTGTAAAACCACCCCATCTGCCTGGGAGACAACTGAATGAGTCTCAAAACACACGTGCAATTTAATACTTCACAATATGCTTCTTCAAACAGGCAAAAAATGTAGAAGAAAAAAATGTCTATGCTGGGCTACTGCTTCACACTGAATCAGAGAATAATAGTTACAGTGTTTGAAGGTAGAAGAACTGATTTCCATCTCATAACAGTGCCTAGAAGGAAAGGAAACAAATACTCCTAAATGACTTGTACTACTGCCTGTCACCTTAGCCTGGAAGGCTTTACGGGAGAGTGGCCTCTATTTTACAGGTAGGGAAACTGAGGCTGGGGGGGGTTGAGCATTTGCGGAGGTACCTCGGCTCCCAGGCTTGTCTGAACACAAGGCACCTCCCTCGAGGGCTTGCTGTCTGGAGGGGTGACCTTCTCTGGTTTGGTCCTTTCATGGGGACTACGCACCTGGATCTTGGTGAACTCAAACTCTTTCTTCTACCAACACAAATTCTGAACATAAATTCTGGCCTTTCTGAGCTTGAGAATGTTGGTAGTCTGGCGCCAAGGAACCCCTCCTCAAAAGACCTGAGGCCAAGATCTAGGGATGGCCTGACCACAGTATGCTGCTCACATGAGAGAGAATCTGAGACACTGTAACAGAAACCTCTAACTTACAGGGATGAGAAAGTCACAGATGCTGACCACCATGTGGTAACCAGTCGCAGACACAGGAAAGGCTGTATTTTGGCAAGAGCATGGTGGAAAACTGACTTTTTACCCCCTGTCCAAGCTCATGGACCTAATGAATTCTGGCCACGGACCTCAGAATCAAAACCCCTGTTTTAAAGGAAAGAACGAAGTCGGTCCAGTAATAGGATGGATTTTTTTCAGGGTCTCCTGGAAACAGATCTCAGGAAAACGAAATTCACTATATAAATTCCAGATTCACCTATGAATTAAAAATCATAATTCTTCACTGCTCTGAAAGCTGACCTTGGTAATGCAGACTGACCCTCAGCTATCACAGCTAGACGAGCTCTGCTACTTTCCCACTCAACTGGGAAATAAGTCCAGACCACTGAGATATAAACGGTCTCGAGCAAGGCTCAGAGACATTGCCTGTGTACCCCAGTCTGGGAGCCAGCACTCTGCCCATCTTCAAGGACGGGGTTTCAGCTCCAAAGGAAGCGACACACAGGGGGTGCAGAGCTGTGGAACTGAGCAGACAGTCTGGGAAGTCGGTTGGAGCTGCTGCTGCGTTTACAGATAAGGACGTTAGAATTCAATTCAAAAGGGGACATGATTGGTCGGAGTCCAACACCGTGTGAGACCAATTTAATTGATAATGCTATGAGATAATGAGATCTGGGCAGGTCTTGCTGTAAGAAAGTGTGAGGCTAGGTGCTCGTCTTAGCACACTTTTGAATTCTGATTTTCGATTGCAACTTAATACGCAGTAGTTAATCAGACCAGTATATTTTAAGTTTACTTTGAATACTTATGTGAATATTTTGTTTAAAAGAATAAATGTCAAGGCTCCCAAACTGATCTTTCTAACTGGAGTTAACAATGTCAAGCTAGTTTAAAATAAAAACTTTTCATAACTTAGCGAACAGTTCCAAAATTGAGCCGTACCAAGGAGACGGTTTCCCTCTGGAAAGGCAGTTTACAGGAGCCAAATGTCTTCCTCTTTATTTGTAATAACAAAAATAAACCGAAGTCCTGACATATTTGTAGTATTTTTATTCCTAAAGGAAAAAACAGGAACTTTCATTGTACTTTAAAATTAAAGTTACTACCTCAGATACTCTGCCAGCTGAGCTCGGAGAAGTGAGCATCATATCATAGGACAGCCCCACTTCTCTCGAGGAAATGCTCAGTCAGGGTGGTGCCTCCGCGGGCCCAGGGGTCCCACAGCTGGTCAGCGTTCCGTCCCGAGGGCTTCTGCAGCCTGCGGTCCTGGTTGGACAGCGAGCATTACGCTCTGATTTTTCCTGCTGCCTGGCTAGTGACCCCCTACAGGAAGATAACGGGGGAGCCAGGAGGGCGGAGCCGCTTGCTGCACATGTCTGGCTGCTCTTATCAACTTATCATATAAGGAAAGGAAAGTGATTGATTCGGATAGTGACACTGTAGAATCAGGGAAAGAGAAACAAAGAGACATGAGAGCTGCTCTCTGACGCCGGCACAGCCCTCTCGAGCGAGCAGGACTGCTCTGCCCACTGCGATCTGACAGTTTACTGCGTGCCCCGAGAGAAGTCAGCCCTGAAACCAAGCCTGCCGCTGGAAGGGAGGGACAGGCAGGCTGTCACTGACGGACTCGGCCATGCAGCACAGCCCTGCCTTTTAGACGGCAGCTCAGAGCTCTGGACTCCCATGCGTCTGGAAGTCTGCTGAACTGGTGGTTTACTACCCAAAGCAAGAGAATGTGGCAGATTGTTTTCTTTACTCTGGGCTGTGATCTCGTCTTGGCGGCAGCCTACAACAGCTTTCGGAAGGGTGTGGACAGCACTGGCAGAAAGCAGTACCAGGTCCAGCACGGGCCCTGCAGCTACACCTTCTTGCTGCCGGAGACGGACAGCTGCCGCTCTTCCTCCAGCCCCTACGTGTCCAATGCCGTGCAGAGGGACGCACCCCTGGACTACGACGACTCCGTGCACAGGCTGCAGGTGCTGGAGAACATCATGGAGAACAACACTCAGTGGCTGATGAAGGTAGGCAAATTGGGCTCCCTGAGCTTCGGGAGCTCTCGGGGCCAGAGCTTTGGCGAGGTGGTGACCAGCACCCTGAACAAAGGACCATCCCTCTTGTCCTGTGCCCGGTGGAGGGGGGGTAACGTGCCACAGGGCAGAAAGCGAAAGGGGTTACTTGAAAAGTGTGCCAGGACCCGAGTGGTCGGTCTCTGGGGCTGGGAGCTTCCTAGAGTGGCAGCGGAAGTGCACTTCCCTGCAGACGCTGCAGGCTCTTCTGTCTGAGCAGCTGGAGCTCCCTGACACCCATTACCAGGACCTACTCAGCGGGTGGCAGGCATGTGAGGGAGGCTGTGAGCTTGCAGCCCGGGGTCAGGAAAACGTGAGAATCCTGTTAATGACTGATATGTAGCGGATGGACTCAAGTGCTTTACCAATTTCCTGAATTTCTTTACGAAAATAGATTGTGACTCCTGCTAAATGAGAGGAAATTCAATAAAGCAGACCTCGGTTTCCCAGAATCTCAGGGCTCGACCACTGCAGGCTTGCACTCTGACACAGGGACTAGCTTCCCAAGAACCCGAAGGCACAGTGGCCCTGTTCAGTTCCACTGTGGGCTCTGGGAGCTTCCCCACGTGGGACCGGTATGGGACGGGGTGACAGCCTGTTCTTCGGTGGCAGGGTTCCACCGCTTCACAGCCTTTGCTCAGAGCACGCGACCAAAATAAGATCCTGAAAGCTCTGTTTTTCTTTCACAAACGATCGTTTTCATACGAAACCCCAAGTGACCCTGGAATTTTCTTTATACGAACCATATGTATTCCAAAGGAAGTTTAAACAAAACATGTAAATAGCAGGTTAACGGTTAGACATTATAAAGATGACATTGCCTGGCAACGCGGACGCGGGAGAGGGTCATTATTTAAAGCCACATAAAAGCTTCTCAAAGTCGGTGGGCTTCCTGGACATTCCTCCCAAAGAGGGAGATGATCTTGTCTTCCATGTCAGCACGGCTCTGTGCTCTGGCACCCTGTCTGAATCTCTGAGTAGGTGTGGGATCCTGATCTGTGTTTCTCATTAACCCCCCTACCTTCAGAGAGGAAGCCACTGACTCATGACTCAGGCCAGGAGTCCAAATGAATGAATGTGGCCAGCCCCACTGCTATTGTGACAGAGGGGCTGTTCAATTGGAGAACAGAGACAACAGATGCAGACAGGCTCCTCAGATAAAGACCTCAGCAGGGTCTGCTCCTGGGTGAATTTTCTGGTTTCTCTCCTTCTTTAAGATCACTGTGTGTGCTCTTTTTAAATCTTGTAAAACTCATCATGTGCAAATGATGACACTAAACATTGACGTATGCAGTAGCACAGGTCTCAACTTTGGAAGGCAAACTGGATCCTCGATGTCTGGTGACCTCTATTTCTTTGACTATGGCATACTCACATTTAGTGACCTCCCACATCTACCATGGCCGGGTTAATTGTGCAGAGAGCCCCAGAGCAGGGTAGGGGGGACACATGGAACTAGTAAACATTGTAACCTGCCCGACTAGCAAGCCACCTGCTAAAATAAACAGTCACCAAATATAAAGAGAATGTTTTGTCAAATGCAGGACGACTCAATCGCATTGGCTTGGTTAGGCCCAGGACGGTGTACCTGTGACCCTCTGAGAAGGTGCAGGCGTTTTTAAGGGCAAACCAGCCCCTTCTCTCAGGCCCTGGAGACACTGTTGAGACAGAGCAGGAGGCAGACTCTAGCAGGTGACCAACATCTTGTCCTTCCAGGGTGGATTAGTAAGAGTGTGCGCAGCAGTGCACGGGGATTTCTAAAGCCCTTGTTAGCTAGCCAGTGAGGTGTCAAGAGGGGCCTGCAGTTCCTCTTTTCCTAGGCTCTGCACCTGTTCCTGGGCCTTCCTGGGTGGTGTGCACCTGTTCCTGGGGGCCTTCCCTGGGCGGTGGGCACCTGAGGCAATTTGGCCCCCACTCCCTGGTTTACAGGCTCCCAGCTTGGGAAGGAAAGCGAAAAACAAACACAAAACCTGCCTGGGATGGTTCAATGTAAACTCTCTGCTTGTTTTTCTCCCTGTGTTTTGGCACCTGTGATAATAAGCACTTTTTTCTGTCAAGGAAAAAAATATGGTCCAAGGGAAATGATTGATAAACCCCTAATTAAAGGACCCACCTCACACCTCACACCTATTTATAGATTCACACGACCCCGTACATTTCATTGTTTCATATATTTTCTTTGGGGCTGCTTATTTTTGTATGGTCCCATATTTCCTTTCTTTCCTTGATAAACACTAAAAATAAGAGGCGTACACACACACACTCAGGAAAAAAAAAAAAGCCACCAGAAAATCTTTATACATTTAAGAGTTTAAAAACTTGCTAGGAAGGAAAATGAGACCAAGTTTCTGGTTAGTTTTAAGGCCACTGAGTAGTATTTCAGCTTCTGAGTGGGGAGCAGGCCCAGGAGCCAGGACAGACAGCTGTGTGCACACCATCGACAGCCCCCGGGCTGCCCAGCACGGCCAGGCAGAGGAGTGTCCAGCTGCAGGAGAGCCGGGAGCATGAATGGGAGGCAAAGGGAGGGAGGCTCTTGCTCATGCTCAAGGGTAAGATAAATTCACCACGTCCCCCCAGCAGTCCCATTGCCTGGCCAGGTCCACAGGAGTCTGGCTTCCCCTGCAACTCTTCTGAACCTCTGTCCCAGTGATAGTAAACACAGTTCATAAAAAACCTCACAAATACCTTAGCAAAACACATTGTAGTTGGCTAGGGGACCAAATGTATTTTTTTTTTTTTTCCGATAAGAGGAAATGTGAAAAGGAAATAAACAACTATTTCACGCTGATGAATGCCTTATATTTCATAAACAACTGCAAGCCCCACAATCATTTTAAAACAGAATGATTTGAAAAATAAAGCTAATGACTATTAAACTGATGTAAACATTTCCTTTGCTATATAAGTTCTACTTCTTTTAAACAACATTAAGTGCAGGAGCTGTAAACTTGAATCACAATCTTTTTTTTTTCTTTAAAAGTGATAATGTGGGCTGGGGTTGTGGCTTGGTGGTAGAGTGCTTGCCTAGCATGTGTGAGGCACTGGGTTCAATTCTCTCTCTTTTTTTTTTTTGTGGTGCTGGGGATTGAACCCAGGACCTTGTGCATGTGGGGCAAGCACTCTACCAACTGAGCTATATCCCCAGCCACATGAGTTCAATTCTTAGCACCATATAAATAACTAAAATAAAGCTCCATTGACTTAAAAATATATTTTTAAAAAAAGTTTTTTGATTTGTACTCTTTTAATAGGTATGAGAGCTACTGCTCAGGGGCAGGGCAGGTACAAATGTGTCACTGCCACCAGGGGGAGAAGTAAGGACAAGGGGCTCACAGAGGAATTCAGCCCTGCAGCCCCAGCCACCTGCCGAGAGGAGGGTGGTGTTCCATCAAGTGGGGTGTGAAACATTCCTTAGCTGTACATTCAAAAACCAGGACCAGCCCCGCCCCCCCCAAAAAAAAAAAAGATCAAAAACGGAGCTGGGTTTATGAAGGGAAAGACAGCCCATCACAGCCACAGCCAGGGCCTGCTGCAGTGCAGAGGGAAAACTCTGTCCTGGTCTTCAGCTCCATCCCGAGTCGGGAAATTTGACTGTTTTCAGTATTATAAGCAAATTTTATGCATTCACGAGCCGGTCAAACCTGCTATTCAAGATTTTAGGGAAAACAACTGTCATTATAATAATCATACACCAATATGATAGTAGGGGTGAAGAGAAAAGGTTTCACGGTGGCTGGGAAAAGAAGCTATATTTCAGTGTGACAAGGAAAAGTACAGTTGTTGACTATATATCTATAGTGCTCATGCACTGCCTGAAGTGCAGAAGGTGCTTTCTCTACATAACTGGAAGACAGAATAAATGTTTACCACACACAGTTTTACCCTCTGCTTATTAAACAAGGTTGTCTGACATTGGATCGATTATTTAGGTGTCATACTGGGGTAGAAGAATTGCCCAGAGTCTAGAACTAAGAAATGGATGTCCCTAATCTCTTTCTTCAGTGCATGCTCCATGTGGCCTTAATATGGAAGTCTGCTGACCTCAGTCAATGTGGTGCTTCTAGGCTGACAGGGGCTGCAACCAGAAGTTCACCTGGGCACTGGTTACTGCACTTGGAAGCTGACAAGGGTACTGGCCTTGCCAGCGGTCACTGCACTCAGGCTGACCACAGGGCTTACTCCAACCCATAGTAAACTGAAATCTTGTATATTTGTAACTAAAAAAAAACAAAAAAACCCACTTCAAACCAATCCCACCACCATATTGATATTTGAAAAAATATGAAAATGAGCTGATCAAACCCACTATGAGCTAAAAAAAAAAAGAATTCAAACTATGAAAATGGTAGAAAGTAGAAGTAGATTCTTTTTACCCTGATCTTTGGTCCCTTCCTTTGAGATCAGCACTCAGAGATTATGCCAGCCCTTTACTGTGACTGGAAATTGTATGGTTTTCCTCTTCTTAAAACACACACAATGGCATCATATCATGATCAGAATCTCTGTGGCTCTTAAGTGACCTAAAGAGAGGTTGGAAGAAATATTTTATTCAGAGAAAAAAGCAAAAATTAGAAGATGGAGGTAAAGGAGTCAGGAGGGGAGCAGCCACCTGTGACATGATCAAGCAAGCCGCAGAGGAGGGAAGCACTCGGAGGAGGGGAGAAAAGGGGGAGGAAGGGGGACTCCTGTCCTTATGCATCTGCCCAAGGAATGACAGCAGGACCTGGTGGCTCTGTGGACTTCCTGAGATGAGAGCAAGAGGGGGCAGGCTGTCTGCAGAGCAGGTGTTCAGAATTTGCAGAAAACGTGACTTTGTGGCGATGGCTCCTCAGCAGGCACACCCCCCTGCCCATGCATGTTTCCTGTGTCCCTTCACATGACGGACCTTGACCCAGGCTTCACTGGGCAGCCGTAGTCTGGTTAACAGGACCCTCCAGAGAGCAAACACCTATTTT